ACAATGCCAGACAGGCAATACCTTCTTTTGAGTTGTTGGCCAGGGTGGCCAAAGGGACTCCCAGATGGTAACCCAGCATAAAACTGGGAAAATGAAAAGCAGACCCCAATCTTATCTAAAGGAATATTGACAACTGATTACTGCTAGTTGAGGAACAGCTGACCTTCCTAAAATAAAGACCTCTAGATAGGCTGACTAGATTCATCAGATGGACAAGTAGTGGGGAATCGCTGTGGTGCCAACAACACAGTGGACAGTAGCAGGGATATCAGAGTATAAGGGCTCTAGTGTGGGAGGGGAGGCTATGGGAGGGTGCCATTTGGGAAGTGCGTGTGTAGTTGAATAAGATGGTTTGGGATGTTTTGTTTGATAGACACATACACACACACACACACACACACACACACACACAAATCAACAATTTTTTTTAAATGTATTATATTTGAGGAGGAAGTATGGAAATTTATATCATGTTAGTTAGTAGAGGTGATAAACACTACCATTGAAATCTGCCCAATGACTTTATAGACATACACAGACACCAAGGATCCAAGTGCAACCAATTATGAATAGTAATAATCAGATACAGATTAGAGATTCATGCACCAACATCTCACTCTTAGTAGCAAAAACAATGAGTCTTTCTGCAAGGAACAATATATTCTAAAATGAAATGGAGATCTTTTTTAAAGGTTAAAAACTCATTCAATTTTATGTCTTACAGGGCTTATACTGAGTTCAATATTGCATAACTGTATTAATTCAACTGTGAACCTAGAAACTTACAGCCATTTGTGAAAGAGACGTTCTCTTGCTCTGGAGTGTGTTACTGAATATGTTAAAGCTGTAATGAAATGCTTCTAATCATGTAGTTATTAAAAAAAAATTTAAATCACAAAAAAATTGATAGGGCTTAGTTTTAGGATGTAGATCAGTTAGATAGGCAGTTAGAAATGACATACTCATGTAAATGTACACAAAAACATGCATACACAGTCTTCAATGGTAACCACTAAAAATGCTGAAGACTCTTCTGAATGATAGTGTAATAATTTCTATTTTGCTTCTCAGTTTTCCAGACTTTCTACAGTAACCATTTTTCTTATAATAAATACTGTAAAAGTTTATAAACAATAGTTTTTAATGAGTAAGTTTTAAAAACAAGGAATGTTTTATCTGTTAAAATTATTTGAAGGTGTTAATTCTATAGTATCTACTCTAGTATCTTGAAGCCAATGAAATCTTCAAGTTAGCCCTCAGGATGCCCACAATGACATCCTCTTGGAATTTATACATTTGACCCAAATTTGTCTCATGAAGCAACTCTAATAATGTATTTTCAGTTCTTGCCCATGTGGGCAAGAATTTTGTAGAATGTAGTAGAAATATACTTTCCACTTCCATTTTACAGCAATAACTGCCTTTGTTCCCTACAGGTATTTTGATACCTCTTGCTTATTGAGCTCAAATTAGACTGTCATATACTTAAAGTTTTTATGAACTGTAATCTTAATGATATCCTCTAGTTAAATTATGGAGCCTAAGTATTTCTTGTGACTCCTTATGCCTATTATTCACATGTTGGACTATCATTCACACATCTCTTCCCTTACGAAGTCTGAGGAATTTAGTATTGAATTCAAATTACCCAAATCATTTTTAGGCCTTTGATTTTTAATGCAGGTAGTACTTGATCCCTCTTCACTAGGAAGTGCTCTTTAAAAACTGTGGACTAGAAAACCTTTTTTCCTAGCCCATGTTTTTTCCTCAAATTCTAGAACAGGCTATAACCAAGAGAAGATACTATTATACAATTGTAGCCATTTGTTGCTACTGGACTACAAAGGATATGAGAGAGAAATTAGAATCCAGGGTAATGCTCCTTTTACATACTCATTATGATCTTCATAGCCTGCTTTCTCTACTAATACTTTGCAGTGGGTATGTTTCTCACACCCATACAATGTCATGCTTACTCCTTTTTACCAAATTTATCTACTTCTTTTTGATAGACATTTAACATGCTTCCAATGATATGAATATTGCTATGTAAACCATTTTCTGTGTTTGAGATTAACTTCCTAGAGTATATTCCCAGGATGGGAGTACTAAATTAGAGGGAATGATCACTTTAAAGATTTTTACATGTGTATGGTATTCGTAAAATATTCTTTAATTTACCCATCTTGCCACAGTTGATGGGCCATCCATCCTGCCTCCCCAATGCAGATGCTTTTACACCTTGGAAATCTGTTAAATGAAGAATACCATTTGGTTTGAGTATTTGTATTTGATTCCATATGCTCTACTGAATTTCCTAACTGCTTGGTAAACATTAAAATTTTAACTATTCATCAGATGTGGTGGTGCATGCCTTTAATCCCTGCATACTGCATACGAGAGACAGAAGCAGGCAGATTTCTGTGAGATCAAGTCAGCCTAGCCTACATAGCAAGTTCCAGGCCAGCTAGTGAGCGATACAAGGAGATCCTGTCTCAAAAAAAAAAAAAATTAACTATTAATAAACATGTATTTTTTAAAAGTTAGAGTGTCTGCTACATGAGCAAATTAAGTCTTAGAATCAGAAAATGATGAAGTATCTCTGAGGAATGACATCAGTGTAGATCAAACAGGATGGTGTCAGCATTGGCTAATGTCATCTGAAAGCAGTTTTGTGACTTTCTTTTTAAAAAAAAAAAGACAAACATTTATCTCAGTGTTTTACATCCAAGTAAGATATTTTCTTTTCTACCAAATCCAAGTGTCTGGCTTAGAATTATACTTATCCTTATCAGAAAGCTTAGCAATCTAATTGTTATTTCAGACTCTTGCGCTGCTGAACCAGTTTAAGTCTAAACTCACTCAAGCTATTACGGAAACTCCTGAAAATGACCTTTCTGAAGCAGAAGTGGAAGATGATGAAGGATGGTAAGGCCTTTGATTGTTCTGTATTAACCCAAACAAGCAGGCCCAGAGCAGAGACATGCGGGATACCCCATTCTGCCTTTTTCTTTCAAACTTTACCATCATTACTAGGGTCTCCTCTCCCTTTTAATTAATTTCAACGATAAAGTTTAATTAATTCGCTAATTAAAATTTTGATTAATGCCAATATTTTGCTGGCCAGTGGAAAATATTAAAAAGGATTTGATACCTTAATAATTTCTAAAATCGTTTAAAAAAGAGAGAAAACTCATGTTAAAGAGCTAACAAAGAACCTTAAAAGAATGATTTTTTTTATATACTTTCCCGCAAGCATTTTAGAATTCAGCCATCTATTTTAGTAATATATTTCCTACCAACTCCTTCAAGGTAATCTACAGGATCCTAGGAACACATACATAGTCAGTTTTATTTTATCTTTAGATACTTTTCAACTTTCTTTTGTTTTATTTATTTATTTATTTATTTTGCTTTTCAACTTTTAAAGAAATTAATGACATATATGTCCTGTGCTTAGAATTTTATCCTATGCCAGGAGGAAAGAAAAAAAGAAAAAGAATAAGAACTGTGTTTTCCCTTATCACACCCCTCTGTCCTCAACTTGACTTCACATGCAGTATATTAGGTCTCCCCACACCTAACTGCCTCCACCTCCCACAACACCCTGGCTCAGGCACATTGAAACAGGCCAGCCAGTGCAGCACCCCCGACGCATGACTCACCCTCTGGAGCCTCTGAACTGTCACGTGTGTCATTACTCCAACCCAGAATCATGGCCCCAAGCTCTCTGCCAACAGCATCTCCCCTATTTCAAAACTGTTCAACACTCCCATCCTCCAGGAAACCAGTCAGCAAGATTTGTGGAGCACTCACAGATCTAGAGGGTGGAGGAAGAAGGGCTGGGACAGGCATTGAAAAAGACATAAGAACACTCATTAAGAGAAAACATTTAATCAAGGAAGACTCTGCAACTGTATGTAACTTTAACCAAGAGGGAATGAAGCCTACCTACCCCAGGACCCTGAAAATAACTGTATATTTATCAATTAATTTATAGTTTCTGTATGATCTAGGTTATAAAAATCCTTATCTCTTGTAACCAGTTTCTATTACTTATATAGTTGTTTGTACCTAAATTTGAAGTTGCTTGAAGGCAGAGAGGCTGGTTCCTCCTGTAGTTGTGTGCCAGGCAGAGGCTCCATGAGTGTTGATTGACCCATGGAGACAAATGCACAGGCACAGTGCATAGAACATTCTTTTAAATGACTGGGCAGGTTTAGTTTTATCTTGAATCTCTGAGTGTCTCAAAATATTTTTCAAATGTTTTGGGGTCAGCTAACACACACACACGCACGCACGCACGTGCACGCATTTTGCCAAGTTCTTTTCCTCTTATTTTTGAATATATGCATTTTTTGAGGAAATATGACCCATGTGTTTCTGATTCATTTACACTTAACTCATCAAGATGGTGTTTTGTAAGAACAGTTTGAGGCCCAGTAAGGTCTTTAACCTTTTTATAAGCCATTTAAGCATTTTTTTATTGAACAGGAAAGTCACCAACAAATTCAAACCCCAGAAGTTTCATTTGAAATTCATAACTCACAGAATTCAAGTTTGCTTTCAACTTGGCAAGATCATTTAACTTCCCATGATCTTCCTACCTTGGTTCAGTATTCCTTGGCTCTGAATTCTTCATTACCTTCAGATATCAATTGTGTGTTTTCAAAAGTATCATTCTTATTTTTTAAAGGGATCTGACCATATGGTCAGTATTCTAGCTAACTTCCTCAGTGGGAAGTTAAACAAATGGGAAAACTTCATTAGATGGGGAGGAGAAAAAATCAGTAGGCAATGATGTTGGCTGATTCTCCATATGAAGAAAAAAAATGTGGTAAAGGAAAAAAGAAAAAGATGCGGTAAAGGAAGGGGAAATGAGTTGAAAAATCATCAGCGGGTCTTCAGAGAGCTTATTTCTTGTCACCTCCTAAGCAGAAAGTCAAGTCTATATACTATGCACCTCCAGCATATTTTTGGTATTTGTTTAATACAGCATCTAACAAAAATACATGTTGTAATCAAGGCACTATGCAGAATCCTATAGAATGCACAGTGTCCTAGGTAATGCACTACAGACCACTAAAATGTTGCACCTTTATAAGAACTGCATCATTTCTTGTTACAGATCAGCCAATTCAGTTTCACCAAATCTCTGAAGATTTAGATCCTCTCTTGTAAAATTGTGTTCTACTAAGGAGAGAAGTCTCATATTCAAAATGAGTTATAGCAAATATTATGAGTGCATGGCATGTGCATGTGTCCTTCACATAAATTGCATGGTTCCCAGACTGTTTGGGGGTCATGGTTGCAGCTTTTCTAAGAAGTGAAGGTCAGCCAGTATGCTGTGCCACACTGTCAGAGTCTGTTAGCTGAGATAAAATGATTGCTTCTACGACATTTGTATGTGTCCACATGAGTGGCCACACATTGAGGGATCATTTTCAGTTTCTGTCAAGATAGAAACCATTACCAATTTGTTATGTTTTCTTTTACTTGGCAAACTGTCCTATTCACATTTTTGGCCAAGCTCCTGTATTGGCATGATATACAACAGACATTTGGGTGCCATTCAGCAGCATTCTATTTTTCATACAAAAAAAAAAAAAGCAAGAGGAGGGAAAGAAAGAAAAGAAATATGATTCTATTGTAAACAGTGTGTATTGTGTTTGGTAATTATTACCAGATTTCTCTAACAAGACACTTAAAGAAGTGCTATTAGTAGATTAAGCTGAAATGCATGGTAGAAATTTCTCACTTTACTAGGATTCTTCTTGTATTCAGATATCTGTTGCCAATGTTTGGTGGCAGTAATGGCACCAGATTCAAGTTTAGCAGGTAGAGAAGTCTCTTCTTTGTCACTGTATTTCTTACTGCCACAGTATCAGACACACACAGTTCTAGGACCCTTCTTCAAGCATGGATCTCATAAAATAGATTAGACACATGGCAGGAGACATCAGCCAGAGGATTCATATGGCCATATGGATGAAGTTCATATGCCAGTTTGGGTTTGATTAGATAAAGCTTGATTAGCTTTAAACAAGGTTAGAGAGAGCTGTAGCTAACAAGGCAGTGGAGAGACATTTTTGAAAAAGAAAGAAAAGAGCCACCTGTTCCTTCAACAAAAAAGTTAAATCTGTGAAAGCTGACTGAAATCTTGGGAACATTCACTGTGCACTAGCAGGTTCTCATGAAAATGGCTTTCCAGATTGCTAGATCTGGGATAGTCCTAAAACTTTACAACAAAGATACATGATAAAATGACAATTAATCTGATGGTCTGTCTGTCTTCTTTCTTTTTTTTCACCTCTCTCCTATACCACTTTCCTCTTTAGTAGGTACAACAATATTATACAATTTTGAAAAACCCTAACTTTGCATGATTGCTTCAAATAATTTTATTTATTATTTTATTTTATGTGTTTGAGTGTTATGCCTGCATGTAGGTAGGGGTACCCATGTCGTGCAGTGCCCGTAGAGGTCTGAAGAGGGCATCAGATCCCTTGGAACCAGAGTCACAGATGGTTATTAGCCACCATGGGAGTGCTGGGAATCAAACCTGGGTCCTCTGCAAGAGCAGATGGTTTTCTTAACTGCTGAGTTATCTCTCCAGCCCCAATATTTTTTTTATTATTATAGAAATGAAAGTATCACTATAGAAAAGCAAATAATAGATCCTTCAAAAGAAGTAAATAAAGATCATCTATTTCAACCACCATGGGAGTGCTGGGAATCAAACCTGGGTCCTCTGCAAGAGCAGATGGTTTTCTTAACTGCTGAGTTATCTCTCCAGCCCCAATATTTTTTTTATTATTATAGAAATGAAAGTATCACTATAGAAAAGCAAATAATAGATCCTTCAAAAGAAGTAAATAAAGATCATCTATTTCAAACACAAAGATAAATACTATTAATTTGTATATATTAATTTATATATACAGTC